ACAGTCCTTTCTGATATGAAATTGTGGTGACAGATGTTAGATTTTTAAAAATATCATTCCTTGGAAAAATAAAAAATTTGTAGCCCTAAGCTAAACCTGCAAATCTTTTTTTTTTTTTTAATCTTCAGCTGAGGACATTTTTCGATATTTTGTTCAGATAGAGTGGGAGAGAGAGAGAGAGAGAGAAAGAAACATCAACATGAAAAGGACACATCGATTGGTTGCCACCCACAAGACCCAACCAGGGCCGGGGACAAACTGCAACCGAGGTATGTGCCCTTAGCGGGAACGGAACCCGGGTCTCTCCAGACTGCAGGCCAATGCTCTAACCATTGAGCAAAACCGGCCAGGGCTAAACCTGCAAATCTTTATTCTAGCAGACTCTTGGCCCAGGCGGTCTCCGTGCGAGAACTGCTTGACTATAGCACCCTCTGAACCACGGAATTCAGGGCTGATCATATAGTTATCACTAGTTCTCATCTAGTTATCACAATGGTGACCAGCCTTGGGGCAGCAAAAAACTTAAGTCTAACTTAAATCAATACTCAGGGCAGAGGGGGCTGAAACATTGTATGGCCTATAAATCTTTGGTCCCTAAGTTCCTGGTTGTTCTAAAACTTTCCCCTCTACCCACAAGCCCCTCACCGCACTGTCCATCCCTGACCCACAAAGCCATCTCCGGTTGGTTCTGGAACACAGATGATAGAGTTGGGTGGTTCTGTAACAACCTATGCTCTCCCCATCTCTAATCTAGGAATCCCATATCATGACACTACACCCTCCTGGGATTCCGAGAGGTGAGCCTTATGGCACCAAAGTCTCTAGAGAATGAGTCACAGTATTCTGTCAGATGGAATTCCACTGAATACATGCCCGAGACTAGCCTCGGGCTACGGCAGCATCACACCCAATGCAGGTGATCCTGAAATCCATCCACTCGGAAAAGCCCGATTCTGTGGTTGCTGCGGGAAACCAAGGCTCGAAGGGCCACTTGCCCCTCCAGAGCTCCAAACTCAGAAGAAAGGCATGGAAAACAGTTGGGCTAGGTCATGACAGGCCACCAACTAGTGAAAAGATTTTTCAACTAAGAATACATTAATATTTTAGAGTAAAATTTAAAACACTATTTTCCCGGAGATTCTAGACCTACCTTCAACTTAACTGAATGCTACCTGAAATTTTCTTTATTTAGGTTTTCTCCAAAATAAATTCTAAAAAACAAAAGTGCTTCAGCCCTGGCCAGTTTGGCTCAGCGGTTAGAGCGTCGGCCTGCGGTCCGGAGAGACCCGGGTTCGGTTCCCGCTAAGGGCACGTACTTCGGTTGCAGTTTGTCCCCGGCCCTGGTTGGTCGCGCGGGTGGCAGCCACTCGATGTGTCCCTTCACATCGATGTTTCTCTCTCTCTCTCCCTTCCTTTCTCTCCCTCCCACTCTACCTGAACAAAAAATGGAAAAATATCCTCGGGTGAGGATAAAAAAATAAATAAATAAATAAATAAATAAAATTTAAAAAATTTTTAAAAAAAGTGCTTCAGTTAAAAAAAATTCATAAACACTAAATTTTTTAATACCTTTATTTACTTCGTCTCTAACAGAGCTAATCAGTAAGAGATAATATATTTGTTGTGAAGAGAGTTAATTTCACAGATTAAATATGCACTAAACATATAAATGTGACAATATTTTGAGATATAAGACACTAATAAAGGTAACATTTATTGAGCCAGCCACTGGGCCACTGGGCACGTTACTTAAATCACCTCAGTTAATCCTTACAGCAAGCCTATAAAACAGGTGTTATTCTTATTCCCACTTTATAGATGAGGTTATAAATGAAGAACCTCATGACTGTAATTTAATTTCCACTGACCCCAAACTGGAGTTCAGTCTTTACTCTGCCTATAAAAAGGTTGACTAAGCAAATTAGAAATTAAACAGAAATGCAGAAGGCATATTTAACCTCCCAGAAAGTCCTAGGTTTTCAGACACTAAAAAGCAGATGCTAACTGCTGGTGTTCCAGCAGGAGCTATTTAGGAAGATTCCACCTGAAACTCCGCTGTGTTAAAACACTTATTAAAAAAATATGTTTTTATTGATTTTTTTAGAGAGAGAGGAAGGGAGAAGAAGAGAGAGAGAGAAACATGGATGGGCTGCCTCCTGCATGCACCCTACTGGGGATGGAGCCCGAAACCCGGGCATGTGCCCTGACCGGGAATCAAACCAGTGACCTTTTGGTGCGTGGGATGATGCTCAACCACTGAGCCATACCAACTGGGCTTAATACACTTTAAAATGCAGACTTTTAAGAGCAGGTTTCCTCTCACTAATACACCCCAACAATTAGTTCAAACTAGTAAGATTTCTATAGATGATACAATATAGTGGATGTCAGCTGCCACTCTCCCAGAATTCTTTTTCCTCCCTGAACAGTACCCAGAGCTCTGCTTACTCTTGGGTCCCCTCCCCTAGTCCTGGTGCTTTGGGAAAGCTGATACGCTCCCCTCAGTAGAGGGAAAGGCCAATCAGAAGAAAAATCGCCCAGTCCTACCAATCAACAGAGGGCATTTGTCTGGCCACTGGGATTGCCTAAGGAATAAGTACATGATGCAATTCAGGTCAATGAAATGCCAGGGTTGGTTTGCTGGGGAGGGACTTCTGGAAAAGATACTTTCTTAGTCTTTTTTAAGAAGCACTAGAGGGGCCCTGGCCGGTTTGGCTCAGCGGTTAGAGCGTCCGCCTGCGGTCCAGAGAGACCCAGGTTTGGTTCCCGCTAAGGGCATGTATCTCGGTTGCAGTTTGTCCCCGGCCCTGGTTGGGTTGTGTGGGTGGCAGCCACTCGATGTGTCCCTTTCACATCGATGTTTCTCTCTCTCTCTCCCTCCCTCCCACTCTATCTGAACAAAAAATGGAAAAATGTCCTTGGGTGAGGATAAAAAAAAAAAAGAAGCACTAGAAGGAATGTGTCTTTACCTCTGGCCTCAGGGATGTGCAACAATGAGCCCAAGAACTTGCACCGCCATTCTGCCTCCACGAGAGAAGCCAACCTGAGGGTGACCTGACACCATGGGAGAGCACTGGACGGCCGATGGCATGCTGAGCTGCTGCCCCCACCCACCCAGCAGTCCACCCGTGAGCTGGTAATTAGTCACCTGTGCTGCGAGAGCCCCTCTGAGCTTGGTTTTCTGACAGTCACAACACCAAAGAACCCAAACAGATAAACAAGAAATAAGCACTAATGCTCAGCTTTTTCCTAGCACTTGCTCAGATTTTGCTTTACACTGTTTTTTGTTTTGTTTTGTTTTTGGTGAATCCACAACCAAGGATATTTTGTCCATTGATATTTAGAGAGGGTGGAAGGGAGGGAGGGAGGAAGAGAGGGAGAGAGACAGAGTGGGAGAGAGAGAGACAGAGAGAGAGAGAAAGACATCGATATGAGATACAAAGACTGGTTGTCTCCCACAGGACCCCAACCGCAGCTGGGGGTCGAACCTGCAATCCAGGTACATGCCCTTCACCAGAAATTGAATCCGCAACCCTTAGGTCTGTGGGCCCATGGTCTAACCGTTTAAGCCAAACCACCAGGACTACACTGTTTCTTAACTGATGTAAGTGCTGTTCTCAAGAAAATGTAACGGGCTTTTAAGAAACACTTACAGGAACTAATGAATAGCCTTGGGCAAGTCACTTGACTTCCCTGGGTCTTTTCAACTATAAAAAGATCTCAATTTGACGAGAGGATTTCTGTTTCCTGTGGCCCTCACAGCCAAGAGTTTTGGTTCTGAAGTAGAAACATCCTTTATAAATTTAATCCATACAACCTGTATCTTTCGCTGGGTCAAATATTTTCCAACTGCACCTCCAAATCCATCCCTCCACCCTTCTCCACTCAGCTCTGTGCCTCCAGAGGTTCTGATCTCTACGGACAGCATCAGCATGGCTCCCTGCCTTCAGGCCTCTGGCTGGGAAGCCTCGTGGGAGGCACCATCAGGAGCCAGGAGGACCGAGGGAGTTCAATGAGGATGTGTATTCCCGTGGCTCTTCCCGGCCATGTTGGTGTAGGCCGACTACACCCTTCTACCAGAGGCAGCCTTTCCACATGGCTTCCCTGTGCAGACCCAAGACCCAGTCCCACCCTCTCCCTTTCAGGCCCGGGCTTGGGAACAGCTCCCTGACATGGGCCCCGAGATGCTTCAATACCCCATGCTGGTTTCTGACACCCTGCCTCAGCCCCTGAACACAGCCCCAGCAGAGGCCCGTACAGCAGTACTCCCCTCGAGTGAACTGTTTCCTACTGGAACCCCAAGGCGCATGGCTTAAAAGTTACATCGAAATCAACCACAACCAAAAAGGAACAGAAGTGATCAACTCTGAGTCTCACATAACATAACTCAAAAGTGTGGCACTTGCTGAGAAGAAAATAACCGCCACACACCAAGAGAATCAACTTAGACACCACTACCCTCCTTCCCCACTGTCACTGAGACAAAAAAAAAAATCTGTTTATGCACAAACATACTGACCCTTCGGACAGCGTCTGTGTGAAACCTGGCAGAGGAATCACAGCTCCGTGTCCATTTTCTAGACGGACCAACTGAACCTGGAGGAGAACACAGGGCCGGGGCTGATACACACACTCAAAGGCTGGTTGGTCAGGAGTCGGCCTCTGACAGGCCTGCGGGTTTCTCGGAGTGGCCTTCCGTACCACCATTCTCCAGTGATGTCTCGTGCCCTCTTACCACCTCTCGAGCTACCATTCACGAACAAGTCGAGAGAGACAAGACAGGAGGCCCTCGGCCCACTCCAAGTGATGCCGAACTCCAGTAAGTGACTCCACAGTCACTGACCATCTCCCAAAGTTTTCCAGAAATCTGTGGTTGTCCAGGCCCAGAGCAGCCCTCCTCGCCTTCGTGGGGCATTTACCACACCACGGGGGTCAAAGACATGATCTCATATAACCCCTTCACAAAGCATTCGGACGCCAAGAGTTTTTAGAGAAGCTACCTGTTTCCGATGAAGAGGCTCAATCTTTCAGGGCTGTCCTGCTTTGGTGTCTTCCTCCTTCAGCGTCCTCCGGAGCCAGGGCCTGCAGGAGGGACCCAAACAGCACATTCAGGATACGCGGCTTCCACATGGGAATAGATCATATCAATCAGGGAGACCAGAAACAGCCAAGGATGGGGCCCTGAAAAGCCGACCGTCGATGGGCCTGCCCGAGGAGCACCCTGCAGAGGCTGCTGAGGGGATTCAGGAGAGAAAGACACCCCACTCCATTCTTGTAGTTATGCATGCCCCAAACCCAAGAGCCATTGTGACCCCCCCTTTCCCTCACATCCCACATCCAAGCCATCAGCAAATGATGTCAGCTTGATCCTCAAACAGATCCAGACTCTCACCACATCTCACCACCTCCACCACTACTTTCCTCCCAGCCAGCAGCTGCTCGCCAGGGTATCGCAGGAACTTCCTAACGAGTCTCCCCGCGCCCACCGCGCCTTTCTACAGTCCATGTATGATGTGGGGTGAACTGTGTCATAGGTGGAATTGTATCTCCTCGAAATCCCTAGGTTGAAGTCCCAAACCCTGGTACCTTAGAATATGACCTTATTTGGAAATAGGGTCAGTGCCTATGTGATTAGCTGTTAAGATGAGGTCATACTGGAATGGGGTGGGTCCCTACTCCAGCACAGCAGAGGAGAAACTGGACACACACCCCCGCGCAGGGAGAGCATCATGCGGAGACTGGCACTATACTGCCAGAAGCTAGGAGAGAAGCCAGGACCAGATCCTTCTCACACACCTTCAGAGGGAGCATGGTCCTGCCAATACCTTGACCTCAGACTTCTAACCTCCGGACCTGGAAGACAATACATTTCTGTTTTAGGCTGTCCTATTTGGGGTGCTTTGTTATTGCAGCCCTAACAAACTATTACGCCATGCTCCCCACAGCAGCCTGAGTGACCACTGAAAAATCACTCTCCGACGCAAAACACTCCCATAGTATTTCATCTCTCTCAAAGCCAAAGACCAAGTCCCTGAAATGGCCTGCAAGGCCCACATGTCCTGGCCCAGACTCGTCTCTTCCTACTCTGCTCTTCCTCAATTCCCTCCAGCCACAGTGGCTTTTTCAAACATCCCAAGCTGGCTCCTGTCTCAGGGCCTTTGCACTTGCTTTTTCCTCTACCTGGAACACTCTTCCACTAAGCATCCTTTATTTCCTCCAGGTTTCTGCTCAAATGTCACTTTCTCAGTGGGGCTCTCCACCGCCACCACTGTATTCTTTTTTTTTTTTTTCCCATAATATGTTTTTTATTGATTTTTAGAGAAAGAGAAAGGGAGAGGGAGAAACATCGATGTGGAAAACATCAATCAGCCACCTCCTGCACGCACCCTAAGTGGGGATCAAACCCACAACCTGAGCACGTGTCCTGACTGGGAGTCTAACAGGTAACCTCGCAATGCACGGGACAACACCCAACCTGCTGCACCACCCCGGCCAGGGCACCAGGGCGGTCTTCCTATCCCCGGCCCTGTTCATTTCTTCTGTGTCGCTTTCTCACTACCTGACATTTGTTTACATTTTCATCCCTCTTCTCTCACACTAGACTAAAACTGCCTGAGAGTAAAGACGTCATCCTACACGGTATGCCCTAGCGCTCAGCTCAAGAAAGAGTTGTTCAAAGATTTACTTGTGGAATGAAAGAAGACGAGAGAGAAGAGTTACCAAAAGGAGGAAGTTGTCCACAGTGTCAAAAGAAAACAAGAGTCCAGAAAGATAAGGGCTGAAGTGTCCGTTGGGTGTGGTAACATGGAAGCCACAGGTGACCTCAGAGAGGGCAGTTCCCGAGGAAGGTGGGAGGATGTGAGCAGTTCCCACCCCCCCCCCCCGTGCCAGGCACCCCCCCAAGTGGCCATGGCAGCTTAGGGCAAAACCTGAGGGCAGATGCTTTCCAGACTTTTTCTGTCCGTGAGGGGAGGAAAAGAGGGAATGTGAAAGTTTGAGGGAAGAATTTACTGCTGAATGACTAAAGAGGGCTCCTATTTAGCTGAGCACCTACTATGTGCAGGGCTGGACCCAAGTTAAAACCCTCACACAACAGTCCTGTGAAGTGTTTTTCGCTTCTACTCACAGATGATAAAACTGAGGTTCCAGAGATTAAGTAAGCTGTTCAAGGTCACACGGGAACAAGGGACAGAGCTGGGATTTGAAACCTTCCATCTCTCTTATCTTCTTTTCTATATTCATGTCACCACTGGAATCCAAACCCTGAACATTGCATTCCTAAAATCCAACATGATGTTATCCGACTCACCTCCCTGCAACCCCCACAGTGCATGCACCCGGACGACCCTCCCGCCTACGGGCTGTTTCCACCTACCCCTGACCTATTTGCCTGGCTGTGGTGGCTCCCAACACAGGTCAAGTCCACTCCTCAGCCTCCCTTGGGATCCTTCATAAATGATACACACCCCCTGCTTCAGTCTTGTTTCCCACAAGCACCCTCCACTCCACCCCAACTAATATGCTCCTCCCCTTTGCATCACCCCCAAGGCCCACCCCCTCTGTGGGGCACCTTCCTCCCCCTGCAGCTGCAGCATTGCTGGCCCTGCTCCCCAGAGGCCCACGAGCATTCGCTGAGCCCTCCCCCGCTCCTCCGTAGCTGCTCCCAGCAAGTGCTCCGTGTGCCCAGAGACTGTGCACCCCTTGAGGGTGATCAACAATCTGTGTTGGAAACACCCGGAACTGCCCACTGCTCAACACAGGGTAAATGTTCCTAGATCCACAGAACGACTCTGATGAAGTTCAGATACTGTACTTCTAGAAGTTTTTCAGAAAATATAAGGGACCCGGGACGAGCAAGGGCAGGGACATGGCCCTCCTGCAGTGTTTGGAAGCACACCTATTGTTCCTTTGCAGGGGCCCCTGGAGCCTGGCCCCTGTAACAGCTCTCCTAACGAGGAGGACGCTGGCTGGACTGAGTTCTTCCCGCCTCTTCCTGCCCCTACACACTCCAGGTGCTGGTATTTCTCCTTAGCTACCCCTTCACCTACTTTCCTGGACATACACAGAGATCCTGTCTTCTTCCCTCTTCAAGGACAGAGCTTGAAATGTCAGAAATCTGGCTGAGGGGAATCACGGTGATCAGCAGAATGGTCAGTGCTGGGTGCCCAGAAGCAGGGAAAAGGATAGTCCGTTTCCGGGGAATTGGGAGTTGGCCTTAACTCACTTAGATTGTCAGCAGGGACCACACAGGAATTCTGGGATTTCTGGGACCACAGGGAGAGGGTGGTTGGGAGAAATTTTAAGTCAGCAAAGCCCTCAAAGGCCATCAAATGACACCCCACACAGACAGAATGAGCAGCACCCGAACACTAAGAGTCTGAGAGTCAAGGTGATGCTGTCTGTCATGATCTGGCCAACCAGTGGGACCAAAGCACAGTGTGGACTTCGTGACATAGTTGAAATCACAAAAGCTGTGGAGTCGGGCCTGGGATCAAATCCTGACCTTGTCACCCAGTGGCTGTCCAACCTCGGGCTGGTCACTTAACCTCTCTCAGCCTGGTTTCATGTGCTAATGTGAGGCCTAAATAGAACAAGAACGATCTAAAGACATCTAGCCCAGTGCCTAGCATTATATAAGGGGCCCAATAAGTGTTGCTTCCCTCCCTCCCTCTAGCTTCCAGCTCTCAACCCTCACTGGTAGGAACACGCACACACGCTCCAGGGCATCTCCCAGCCAGGTCTGCAAAGGATGGCAAAAGCCAGCAAAAGGGAGGAAGACAAAAGGGCCTCCCCACGGCCGCTGAGAGAGAAGCACTGGACTTCTGTGAACGCCCAGGTTTCAAAACACACAAAGCTTCGAGCCTCAGACCAAACCCAAACAGGAAGTTTGTGACAAACTTAGCAAACACATGCACAACTGCAGAGGGTTGCATACCACCCAGAAAGGACGAAAGCCCGCACTGGGGGGTGGGGGGGGCAGTGTGGAATAAAAGGAGCATGCCTGGAAGATGCTCCGAATGCACAAAATGCTTCCTGAGTACCAGGAAGCTCCTACCCCAAGCACGGGGCCAGGTCACATGGAGCCGCTCTGGGCTCCCAAGCCAGCTCCTGGCAGTTCCTCCCACTCTGTCCACCACCCCCCTTAGGAATCAGGGACAGTGAGCACTCTGAACAGGGATCAGGGCCCTGGGTGACTTAGGTGCGTGATGTTTTCGGCTGGAAGAACTCAGCATAGAGACAGGAAGTGGCGTGTGGGGGTCCCACAGAGCTCCTTCATCTCCACCTGCCACTCCACAGGGCGTCTTCAGGAGGCCAGGTTTCCTCCGAAATCCCGCCTGGCACCTCCACGTGCGTGGGCACCGTTCACACGGCTATGGGGCGCTACAACTTCAGGTCATTGATTTGTAAGTGCGGGCAACGGTGGACACACCTACCCTCCATGATGTGTGTCCCATCTCCCCAACCAGAGTGAAAACTAGGCGGTTCTTTCCCCTTTGTTCCCAACCTCTCAGCACCTGTGGGTGGGCCTGGATCCCGGGCCACATGTTTGGAGGGTGCTCCAGAAAATACTTGGTAGGCGAACAAGCAACATCACTACCATGTCTACTGTTCTACCCCACCAGGCTGTGTCCTACTCGTCTCGATCCACCCTCAGCAGACAGGTCCCGGTTCCACCCCTCGGGGGTGAAGGGCCCAATTATAAACTCAGCGCCCTGTGTGTCAGCTCACTGCCCGCCCTCCCTCGGCAACTCCGGCCGTGGTTTCCCCACCTCCCCAAGTTAAGTTCCTTTAAAAAAAAAATGACTCATTTAGGAAGAGACAAAACCAAAAACTTCAATGGTAGAGATAAAACAGCACCAAGTCTCTTTAAACACCTCCTACTCCATGTAGAATTTAGATCTGATAAAGCCTCCCCAAACTGGACCTCCTAATTTGGAACTTACGGTATACGCAATTCTTCTAGCAAAAACATTTCCAGTAATGCCTTCTCTCTGAACTTTTCAGGGTCTTCTTTACAATAGGGTGGCCTCAGGCCTCCAAGTCAGTAGCCTTTGCAAAATGAGGGAATAAGAAATTAAAGT